GAAGGAATTACTGCCTCCCATGCACAGGGGCATTGTGCTTATTTTCTCCTTTCATTGGACGTGGGGTGGCCGCCGGAATCCGGACTCCATGGGTGCATCTACACAGTTCCCTTCCCTCGAAATGCCTACACAGCGCCAGACTTCGAAATAAAGCGCTATTCCGACAAGCCCCTTAATTCTCGTAGAATGAGAGTTGCAGGGATGCTGGAAGAGCACGCCCATTATTTTGAAATGAAATGACGGGTGCGTTTAAAGACGTGGAATTGCTATTTCAGGATGCTTCCGGAATCCCGAAATAGCCCTACTGTCTAGATGGAGCCTATGGGCTGGCAATTGTCAATGCTGAGATAACACAAAATGTGCTATCATGCTGAGCCCTTTCTCTCTGGGTATGTCTAGACTACATGGCTCCATCAACGGAGCCAAGTAGATGAGTTTATTAGACATAGGAAAATGAAGCGGCGATTTAAATAATCGCTGCTTCATTTACATCAAAATGGCCGCCGTGCTGTGCTGATCAGCTATTTGGCGGCACAGTGGGGCAGTCTGGACGCACCGCGGTCGACAACGGAAGCCTTTGTTGATCGCTCCGTTATGCCTCGTGGAATGGGGTTTACCGGAGCAGTCAACAAAGGCTTTCCTTGTCGACCGCAGCGTGTCCAGACTGCCACGCTAGGCTGCCAATCAGCTGATTGGCACAGCGCGGCGGCCATTTTGATGTAAATGAAGTGTCAATTATTTAAATCGCCGTTTCATTTTCCTGTGTCTAGTAAACTCATCTACATGGCTCCGTTGACAGAGCCAGGTAGTCTAGACATACCCTTTGAGACGGTGCATAGTAGTTCAGATCTTATAACAGCTGTCGTGGTTGCTTATGCAATAGCCCGTGAGATCCATGTGGTGAGATCCATGTGGTGGATGAGAAGGGACAACACACCGACACGTCCAAGGAAAGCCTGATCATTTGAAGATTCACGTGGATGTAGGGGTGGATGAGAAGGGACAACATACTGACACGTCCAAGGAAAGCCTGATCATTTGAAGATTCACGTTCAGCTCTGGCTCTGTGAAGGCTCTGCCAGATCCGGACGAAGCGACTTTCTCCTGGTTACACATAGTCTGAGACAAAGCCAGGAACGGAACCCAAATCTGTGGAGTTCTATCCAGTTCCTTAACCACAGGCCTCCCCTATAAACCTCTGCAGTCACTTTAATCCTTTGCTGCCAAGCGATCGCTTGGCTTTCTCAGTGCGGTGTTCACAATTCACCCACTTTCCATGAAAACAATGAAAGCCTTTGGTGCAAAATTCTAGCCACGCCTTCTTGGATTGATAATCTGCAGCAAAATCCTCTCTCCTGTTATCACAAAAGGGTTTAAACCCCCCACCGCCACCTCCAAGTGCTTTTTAGTTAACAAAAGCAGTGGGCTAAACTCTGCACTAGCTGTGCAAATTGGGTGTAATTCCATTAAACCCAGTGGAGTCTTTCCTGATTTACACTCACGTAAGGGAGAGTAAAATCGGATCCGTTGGATCTACAGGTGGCATGAATTCTAGGCAGCTCTTTAAATCAATGTATGAGAAGGGGACCCTTGATGGATTCTGCTTAGTCATTGTGTTTCCAATAGTTTTCAGAGCTTTCGGTAACTGTACATTTTTGGAACCAGACTGTAAATCTGTCTCTCTCCTCTCAAGTATATCCCCGATTTAGCCCAGCAGTGGCATTGGCAGCACTCTGAGTTCTGGCCTTTGAAATGCTGACTTTTGTGAATGGAGGATTACGGAAAAATCTTTTGTCTTTTATTTATTTTCTTTTAAATCTCTCTTGCTAAGAACGCAGCCGTTACACAGGGGGAGAGCAAGCCGTCGCTGCTTAAGAATTCCTTTATGAAGCAGTCGTCCAATTCTCTGTCAAGTCTTGGAAACCACTTTAAAAAAGAGAGCAGTGATTTTAGTTTGGAAGGAGACATGCAGATGGTGGTCCCATAAAAACAGAGGCTATTACAGTATGAACAGAGCTGGTCAAAACTTAGGATTTCCATCTCATGAGACATTTTGATATTTCAAAGTTTGTTTCATTCCAAACAAATATTTTCAAAACTTCCCACAAAACAGAATTTTTCAACATTTCCACTTCTGGGACATTTTTATCTAGCCATGTCCTTTTCCTCTGAGACTTGTGGTGGTATCTTTGAGTGAGGCAAACATATGTCAGGTGGGAACAAGGTTGAGATCAGCCAATCTGTTTTACCACCAGTGGTAAACATTTAGGCCATGCCTACACTAGGAAATTATTTCAAAATGACTAAATACGACTCAATAACTCCCAATTTTACAAAATTGAACTAGTGTGTCTACACTATGGGGAAGATTCGAAATTAGCTTGAGGCAGGCTCTGTTAATGGGGACGTGCTACCTCAACTTAGAGCCCCAAGAAGCACTGGGCAGTAATTAGTTCGCATTACTCCGGGGAGGAGTTATTTCAAAACAGGGGTTTGGAACGGGTCCCATATGAGAAGAGATTAAAGAGACTGGGATTTTTCTGCTTGGAAAAGAGGAGACTAAGGGGGGGATAGGGTAGAGGTCTATAAAATCATGAGTGGTGCGGAGAAAGTGAATAAGGAAAAGTGATTTACTTGTTCCCATAATATAAGAACTAGGGGCCACCAAATGAAATTAATGGGCAGCAGGTTTAAAACAAATAAAAGGAAGTTCTTCTTCACACAGCACATAGTCAATCTGTGGAACTCCTTGCCTGAGGAGGCTGGGAAGGCTAGGACTGTAACAGGGTTTAAAACAGAACTAGATAAATTCATAGAGGTTAAGCCCATAAATGGCTATTAGCTAGGATGGGTAAGGAATGGTGTCCCCAGCCTCTGTTTGTCAGAGGGTGGAGATGGATGGCAGGAGAGAGACGCTTGATCATTACCTGTTCGATTCACTCCCTCTGGAACACCTGGCATTGGCCACTGTCGGCAGACAGGACACTGGGCTGGACAGACCTTTGGTCTGACCCAGTATGGCCGTTCTTATGTTCAAAATAGCAACACAAAAATGTCCATGCTACCGCTATGTCGAAATAACTATTTCAAAGTTAGCATCGTTCCCCGAGGAGAGCAGGAGTACAGATTTCAAATTAAACGGTCCATTATTTCGAATTAACAGGCTTAGTAGTGTGGACGCTCCACTTATGAATTTGTCCAAGTCCAAACTTCCTGGCTCGGGCCTACCGTGGTTGTTGGACTCACCAAGATGCAACCCTGACACTGTTACCGTGGTTACACAATAGTGGTCTATTCACTAATACAGAGGGAGCGGTTGGACTGTGGAGAACATGGCTGTGACGTAATGGTTTCTATTCATCGACAGGCTGTTGTTTGTGTGAAAATCATCGGAAGAAGCCGCATTGTGTCCAGATGCGACGCTGCTGAGATATCTTTAAACACCAGTGTGCGCTTCATTAAGCTGCGTCACTGATTAAACAGCCTTGTGCTAAGTTTCCAGGGAGGTGTGACTTCACAGGGGAGGATCCACTGTAGCCCACTGGAAAGCAGGGTGCAGAAAACAAATGCACGACTGCTGGAACTTTCCTCTGTGGGTCACTGAAAGAGGGAGTGGGTACCGTTGATGCCTGGCTTGGCGCTTCAGACCTGGTTGAATGTACATCACAGGGCAAGGGGAATCGGAAGTGGAATGGGTTTCTTTGTACTGCCGCCTGCAAACCTGCCGTGCTGAGATTTCTATCCTGCAAAGCGGCTGCCACAGTAAATCCTCTTTGTGTTCCCATGAGACTTCCATTGGAACTGCTAGGCAAAGGTCTTGCACAATCGAGGGGACTAAAATCTGCAAGCCAGGCACTTCTGAGCTAATAATAGTCAAAAGACAACTGTGTTTTTGATTTTGGAGGAAAAAGGTGGCTGTACCACAACATATTTTCATTTTAAAACCTGCAGCCAGCTTTATAACACACACCTGCATATTAGTAATTTTGTGATGATTAATTAGTGAATGTCTATGAAAAGCTTTGAATAGTGTTATTGTTACTGATCATTATTAGCTTTACCGTAGCATCTTGATCCAATCAAGGCTTCATTTGCTAGGTATTGTACAAATCTTTCATGAAAAGACAGCCACTGGACTAAAGAAATTACAATCCAAGTCCCTGATCCTGCAAACGCTTAAGCACATGCTTAACTTTATGGCCTGTGGGTAGAACTGGTGAGGGTTTTTAAACTGGAAAAAAAATCCCATTGGAAACTTTGCCAAGTTTGCAATTTTCTGCTGGAAAAAAATTTTTATTGGATGAAATTTCCCAGTTGGGGAGGAATCAAACCCTAAAATATCACTTAGAATGGACACTTCAAAACTAGCCATTCTCATTGACATTTGGTAGAATTTTTGATTTGTCTAAAATCTGCAATTTTCTGCTGGAAAAAAATGTTTATTGGATGAAATTTCCCAGTTTGGGGGGAATCAAACCCTAAAATATCACTTGGAATGGACACTTCAAAACTAGCCCTTCTCATTGACATTTGGTAGAATTTTTGATTTGTCTAAAATCTGGTTATCTCCCATGTTGATACTTTCTAATTAGAAACCCTTTTCTGGTCTTTTCATTTTTTCATAATTTTTTTTTTTTTTTTGCTATTTTGATACTTGATCCCAATTCAGAATGGGAAGTCATTTCAAAACTTCCCACAGCAGAACGGTTCTTCGCTGTGATCCAAAACTCAGGGATCTCTTTCCGGTGACTTTAATGGGCCTTCTCACAGTGCCTCACACTAGCCCGTGTTGTTATAAAGACGAATGATCGTGCTTACGGGTAAGACGTGAGACAATTGGACACAACAAGCAGATGGAAGAAGCGGTGACTGTCCGTGAGTTGTAACGCTCCATGTTGTCACTGTGATGGTGATGGAGTGCCAAGCCTTTCAAACGTTACTTGTTTGGAAGCGGTCAGATACTTTACAAGCTAAAAATGGCTTTTGCTTCTACCTCACAGGAGTTCCCTTCCCCAAGAACTTCCAGCAGGTGTGCACCAAGATCCTCACCCGCCTCTTCCGAGTCTTCGTCCACGTCTACATCCATCACTTCGATAGCATCATCAGCCTGGGCGCCGAAGCTCACGTCAACACCTGTTACAAGCACTTTTACTACTTCATACGAGAGTTCAGCCTCATTGACTACCGGGAGCTGGAGCCTTTGGTAAGGAGATGCCTACTTTGCGGGGGGATGAAATTGACCCCTATGCAGAGAGACCACACACACCTGTTCCCCCCCAACCTCCTTGTCCTGACCTTAATGGCCCTTCACCACGGAACCCTGACTGTCCTGTTGCAATCTAATTTGTTCTTTTCACATTGATGTCCTGCCAGCTGCGCCTGCCTTTGTAAGCCACACACCTCCCACGGGTGGTGCATGGTCCCATCTAGTGGCACTGAGATCACTTAGGGTATGTCTACACTACAGCACTAATTCGAACTAACTTAATTCGAATTAATTAATTCGAACTACTTAATTCAAACTAGGCGTTAGTCCTCGTAGAATGAGGTTTACCTAGTTTGAATTAAGCGCTCTGCTAGTTCGAATTAAGTTCGAACTAGCGGTTTGTATGTGTAGCGCCTATTAAAGTTAATTCGAACTAACAGCTGTTAGTTCGAATTAACTTTGTAGTGTAGACATACCCTTACAGTGCGAACAAGGAGTCCGCTCAACAGCGTAGCTACTAGCCAGCTGGTAGGGGCGCATATACTAAGCTCCAGAGGTCCTAGGTTCAATTCCACCAACAGATGACCAGGGTTTGTTGGTGTTACCCCTCTCTTCCATGCCTCCCCTTATGCTTAGGAAGAACCCCCCCTCAAAATTCACAAAACCATCTCCTGATTGATCCTCTTTTAAAGTCATTCCTTGAACTCTGCTTCTGCCACAGCACCTACAAAAAGGCCTCCTGGTATTAGTCGGGCTGGTGACCCCATGTGGCCATGGAGACCACTGTGACTCCCCAGCTGTACAAAACCACCTCTCTGTAGAGCCCGGTGCAGATATAAAGTTTGTATCTGTATCTGAGCGCCGCAGATTTGCAGGGCTCTACCTCTCTGTGCCACTGCCTTGTCCTTCCCTTTACTTTCCTATCTGTTTGTTCGCCTGTTGTCTATCCCAAGCTTGCGAGCCTTCATGGGACAGGGTCTGGGATTTGTACAGCGCCTCATTGAACAGGCGTGACGTAGTTGGGGGTGCCTACTCTAGTGCCCTGGGCGTGGGCATTCACTGGGTGCTGTGGGCGACCCCTACTGGCCTCTGTCTGCAAGCACTGCCCAGCGGGGGATCGTCCCTGCCTGCAGTAGTGTCAATGGGCCAACCGGTTCTCGCCTGACCAGGGGAAGAGGTTTAACAAAGGAAGGGGTGTGGCTACCTGGGGGATGTGGGTTGAGTGGTTTTGGAGAAGAGGCAGTCCTGGCTGGGCAATCACGAAGAGAAGAGACTAAGCTGAGTGCTGGGGGCTCGGGGGCCTGTGGGCCCTACCCCAAGGGGTCCGGGGCTGCCTGCCCCCTTACTCCGATGTCCACATCGAACCCGGGCTGTGCTGTATCTCTGAGAAGCAATAAACCCTCTCTATTCTACCGGCTGGCAGAGTCCCATCTTGCTGCAGACGGGGGTGCAGGGTCGGGGGTCCCCCACGTGCTGTCACAACAGGGCCCCAATACCTGACGGGGGTCCTTATCTGCGATGACAATCATAACAGTAACCGAGGTCAGCCCGCCTGCTTGGATGACCGTCCTGGTGGTGGACAGATGAGCGCGAAGTATTTCACTTAGGAAGGAAAAATCGAATGCACAGCTACAAAATGGGGACTAAGGGATTAGGTAGCCACCCTGCTGGAGCGGATCTGGGGGTGACAGGGGATTGGAAATGGAGTGTGAATCAACAGTGGGAGGCAGTTGCAAAACATGGCTGGTATCTCTCATTCGGGGGTGCGTGGACAGGAGCGTGGGATGTACTAGACTGCAGGCAGTTGTCCTGGTTTGCTTAGCCACGGGGAGGCCTGGACGGAAGTCCTGTGTGGAATTGTGGGCACCATGCTCTAGGGAAGATGAGAACAGTTTGGAGAGGATCCACAGCAGAGATGTAAAATCCCATTTAATCAGCAAACTGGTTAAAACATTATATTTAAGCGGTTAACTGCTTAAAAGGGTCAGGTATCTGTGGGGACCTGGCATTATTGCCTCTTTATTAGCTATACCACAACATACACCCCTATGAGCGGGCACTGGCGTACTTTTCACGAGTAATGGAACTCAGGGGGCTTCTGCTGTGAGCCGGGGCATCTGCCCTGGGTTCCTTCTCCAAAACTGCCTTCCTCTGGCCTGTGTGTTGGCTGGCTGCTGCCGTAATCAAAACATTATATTTAAGCGGTTAACTGCTTAAAAGGGTCAGGTATCTGTGGGGACCTGGCATTATTGCCTCTTTATTAGCTATACCACAACATACACCCCTATGAGCGGGCACTGGCGTACTTTTCACGAGTAATGGAACTCAGGGGGCTTCTGCTGTGAGCCGGGGCATCTGCCCTGGGTTCCTTCTCCAAAACTGCCTTCCTCTGGCCTGTGTGTTGGCTGGCTGCTGCTGTAATCCACCCCAGAGACGGCTGCACTTTGCCAGGGTGGTGCGTAGAAGGCCCAGTCACATGGTGAGATCTAGCTAGTCGTTTCTGTCACGTGCTTTTCTCGGCCACCCACGTGAAAAATACAGCCGGCCCGTGCCGCCAAGACACCAACCAGAATCCCACGGGCTGGAAGCAGCTGCTGAGCCCTGCGAAAGAGCCTGGCTCACACAGCAGGAGCTGTGTGAAGCTTGTCTCCTCAGAGAGCTGCTCTTTCCCACATCTGGCCCCAAGCACTATTAAAAACCAGGAAGCCGAAGAGGATGAGAGGGGGGAAATGTTGCTATAATAACCCACTTCCCCTTCCCTCTGCTCTTTCCTTGAAGGCACAATGAGTGGAAGTTTCAGTGCTAACATCCTTGCACCGTTTCAATAACTCTTTATTTATTTATGTATGTGTGGGGGGGGGGGGGGTGATTGCTGGCTGAGTCCCATTGTGAATTGTAAGACCAGCAAAATAATATTTCGGCAGAGGACCTCAATGCACAATACTAAGCAGAATGAAATAATCCTGCTTTTCAGAAGGGGGGAAACTGAGGCAGGGGTAGACTAAGGGTGCATCTAGACAGCAGGGGTTTTTTTTGGAAAAAACGGACGTTTTTCCAAAAAACATCACCTACGTCCACACTGCTATTGCATTCTTTCAAAAGAAAATCAAAGCAATGCAGGGTTTTTCCAACATTGGTAAAACTCATTCTACAAGGAAGAATGCCTTTTCTGAAAGAGCCCATTTGGAAAAAGGTGTGTGTGGATGGGGAAGAGGGAGTTTTTTTTCTAAATGAAAGGCCTCCAGGAAAAAGCACAGGTGCCCTGGTGGCCACTCCATCCTCACAGCTGAAATGCAAGATAGCGTCCACGCTGAATGGACGCTCTCTTTCGAAAAAGCAGATCGCTTTTTCGATGCACTTTGTCAGTGTGGACGCTGTCATTGAGAAGAAGTTTTTTCGTAAGATCTCTTCTGGGAACGCTTCCTTCGAAAGAAGCTTGCAGTCTAGCTGTACCCTAAGTGACTTGCCTGAGGTCATACTGCAAGTCAGTAGCAGGGCCTTCAACAGAACTTTCAGGGTCTCGCGCTAACCACTAGACTACAACGCCCCTGCTCCACTCAAGAGACTATTAGTCATCTGGTCTGACCTGTGTAACACAGGACAGATGCCTAACCGTATCCATGGTGACATGGGTTTATTTCCTGCATACCTTGCATGATGAGGCTCGTATCTAGATATTTGTTGTTGCTCAGTTGAGATATACACCTAAAACGCCTTCCTCCAGTCTGTGCTAGCTGTGGCTTCCCAAATCTTGGCCACCACGTTTGTGTGAGGCCTGTTGGAGTCCATTTGCAGGCAGGTGCATGCTCCGTTAAACTAATTCCCGTTTTCTCACCGGATTTAGCCTGGAGAACATTACCGCGGTGAAAACGAATGCAGACGCAGCTGGCTTGGCTCTCAAGGGGGTCTCAAACGTCATGGCGCCACGACCCAGTTCCCACCCCTGGAGTGGCGACAGATGCCTGAGCCTGCCCCCCCGCATTGCCCTGGCGGGGGGCAAAGCCCACGCTCAACCACTGCAGGTGAAGGGGCCTTGGACTTCAGCTTCAGCCTAGGGATGGAATAGTGTGGTCGGTTAACCGATTCACCAATAAGCAAAAGCTTATAGGTGAAGCTAGACACTACATGCATTCCCCCCCCCCACACACACACACACACCCTGCCAGTAATTTTTTAGCGGGCTGGCCAGCAGCCTGGCTCAGTCCTGGCTTGCTCCAGGCTTGGGACCTACCCCCACTGTCACTCTGCATGTAAAGCGTATTAGGAGCCAAGCAGGCAGGCAGCCCGACTCAGGCCTGGTCCAGGAGCTCAGACACGCACCCCTTCCCCTCCTGGACAGGGGCTGCAGGCACCCTATGCTGCTGCCTCTCTATCAGAATGTCGGGGGCTCCTTGGAAGTGGGACCCTAGTGCACTGGCTGCCGGCCCCACCCCAGGGGACTATAGAATAGTCGAGTAACCGATACGAATGCATGAGGTTAATCGACTATTCGGTTAATCTATACGTAACATCTCTACTTCGTCCTGGGCAGCGTGGCTTGGCCCCAGCAAGTCTAAGCCAGCCCTGGCGACCGCATCCCAGGGTGCCCCTACCGCTTGAGAACTGGAATGCTAAAGCAGTGGGCCAATGAGTGTGCAGCCTGGACAGCGGCGGCCCCTGTTTCCTCTCGCAGACGTGTCGGGCTTTTTCGGTGGCTGGTTGGGGAATGGGAGATCTGCCGAGAGCGGCTGCATCAGGGACCCCTCTCCCCGCTCCTGCTCACCCATCCTCCCTTTGTGCCCCTCTGGCCCAGTGGCGCAGAGAGAGGAAGAGCCCGCGAGTCCGGAACGTGGCCTTTATTCTTGGCTCTGCTGCTCACGCGCTTGTGTGAATCACACGACCTCTCCATAGTTCACTTCCTGTTGCTATAAAGCGGGCCGGATCTATCCGGTTGTTTATATTTCCCTCCCTTGCCCCAAAAAGCCATAGTATCTGAGTGCCTTTTGGTCATTCATGCA